TGATGTGCAATGAAATCTGATTTAGAGCTATTTATATCTCTTACATTCTAGGTCATTAATACATGTGTATGATAACATTTCAGTCTCTTACAGTCCTTGGCATGTCATCTGAGTGTTTTTCACACTGTCCTGTCTTTTTCTTAACCTCCTGACCAAACTTGGCAGCACACTGTAAAAGGTATCATAGCAGAACTCCCCTTTCCTCAAATTTAAAGTGGCAAACAGAACAGATATCAAGATGCCAGAGTGAGACTAATGGAGACCCCTTTTCAACTGCTGAATTTACAATGAAAAGAAAGTGGAACCAGTTCTTTATCTCTTGACCCCTCAGCCTCATCAAAGTATAATATAAAATAGCCCAAGAAGATAAGCAGCCCCCTAAAGAAAGAGTGAGCTTTACACACCTGGCCTCAATCCGGCCTTAGCCACAAAGAAAATTTAATATTAAATCAGGTTTGGAATTTTGATTACTGTATTGCAGTAGGACATTCTAATTGCTGAATTGAGATTGTATTTGTAACATAAAGTGATCATGGGACTCTTTTATTACCTCAAAGTGAACAGAAAGAACCCCATTAGCTGTTTAAGAGATTTCAACAAGGAGTAGAGAAAGATTACCTCACACCAAAAAAGTTTCAAGAGACCTTGAAAGAGAAAAAAAATAAAGTTGTCTTTTGAATTATGCTTTCTCAAAGAGATTAGTTATCAGTTATTGGTGAAATAATTTCCAATTCCACTCTTTTAGCATTCACATATCTTGGTCATTTCCATACCAGGTTTAGTATTTGTTTCTATATAATACTTTCCCAAAATATTCATTATTATGCAGTCTGATTAGATTGTCTGAATGATTATGCAGTGCATGGTGAACTCTAACTCAATCTAGATTAACTTCTCAATTTATGATCTCTTTGCATTTTAAGCATCATTAATGACCACTACCAAAACTATCCTCTTTTATGTGCATATTCTCATTCTGTTTTGCATTGTTCTGATATCTCTGAGAAGGGAGGAGAGGAAAGCAAGAAACACCTTATAAGACTACCTAGTGCAGGAATGGTGGATATGACAAGAAACTCAGGCATGGTGCAAAACCACTTGGAAGAGTGAAGGAAAAACAGAGTGGTGACAAAGCCACATAAGTTCTTGGATTCAACAGTAAAGAAGTCTGAGGATAGATATCAAGGACAGACTGAGCATTTGCCACTACAGATTTAGCAATTTATGCCCTGGATTTGGCAAGACACACCTGATTTTTAATATTTTGTCTAATTGTTTATTTGGAACACTTAGCTTGTCAGACCTGTGTTCTAAATTTGGATTTGATAAACATGCTCTTTGGCATGGATCTGGCTTGGTAATGGCAAAACAAGGACACCACCCCACCGCCCACCTAAAGAAGGGGTTTAGGATTAACAGTGACCAGCAGCTGCTGTGACTGTGACACACTAAACTCTTCAATTACAGAACTATAATTTCAATTTCAAGGTGTTTATTCCTCAAGTATAGGGGGAAGAAAATGGAGTGTCTCTTTAATAACTGAGACACTGTCCTATTATGCTGAATCCTTAGCCTGGAGCATACAGTAGGTTCTAGATAAATATTTGTAGTGCTAACCTAAAATCCTTAAAATGATCAGAATCTAGTTTAAAGTTGGCTTATTCAAACACAAAGATTGAGGACAGGCTGCTCAGGATGCAAAGATTCCAAAGAATGGAAGTCAATGTTCCGAAGTGTAGAAGTTTGGAATCATTTATATGAAGTTTAGGGAATCTTAAAAGAATTTCATATCTTTCTATATAAGGCTTAATACATAGTTGCAATGATCTGATTAGTCAACGTGGCTTTTTTCTTTCAGGAAAAGTATATTTAACATTCAACACTGAAGATGTAATAGTCATAAGGTCTTGGGCACCATCTGGTCTGAGTTAGGTATAGGATCATAGAAGCAGTTAATCTGTAACAAAGACCAGTGATTGGAAGAGGAACAGGTCTAGTCTCTGCTCTCTCCTAGTCATTTACAAAACAAGAATGAAGAAGAGAGTGAATCTATAATCTAAGAAGCAGAAGTACACATGCTACATGACTCAGTTTCCAGAGCTCAACTTCCCCCTTGCCATAATAAATTTAGAGAGTCCAGAAAGTTTATTCTATTTTACAGTAGATTGACTAGTTTTCCATTCAGGAAAGATATGCCACTATTTCTATTGCAGGCCCTGGCCTAGATCTTGCAGAGGACAAGGACAGCTTAATGCTCAAGGGAATCAGATCCAGCTTGCCATAATACAATGCTGAATAAATAAAGATTTTAGCCAATATGCAAAGGGCAGAGCAGTGGAGAGGCACATAAAGTTTACTTCATATTTTGCAGGAGCTCTCATTCTCATTTTAACACCTGCATTTCTCAAGCAAATGCCGTTCATAGGGTATGCAAAAGCAGATGAGCCAAGAGAACAGGAGGGGCAACAGAGTTGGGGGAGAAGTCAAGAAACAAGGAAATCCAGGGGGTTCCTGGGCCCATTCTGGATTTGAAAAGAGAATAAAATATCTTTAGTCACTTTCTCCTCCTTCTTCCAAATCCCTCAGGATGTAAAATGGCTGGGGAGGAGACTGTTAACATCACTGAGAGAGAGAACCTCTCCTTGCCCCAAGGCCCACAGCCTAGGATCATAGCCTAAGCATCACATCTTCTAGAAAATGACCAACCCCTGCTCCCTAAGAAAAGAAAACCATTGGTCTATGTGTGTTCTTTTATGCCAATCACATACCTTTGTGATTACTACTGTATTGTAGTATAATTTGAAATCAGGAAGTGTGATGCCTCCAACTTTGTTTTTCTTTCTCAAGATTGTTTTTGACTCTTTGGGATCTTTTGTGGCCTCATATGAATTTCAGAATTGTTTTCCTATAAACCCAAGTATATATGGTCAACTAATTTTTGACAAGGCCACCAAGAAGACACAATGGGGAAGGGAATGTATCTTCAATAAATGCTGAAAACATCGGTTGTGTTGGGGAAACTGGATATATATATGCAGAAGAATGATACTGGACCCTTACCTTAAACAAAAATCAACTCAAAATGGATTAAAAACCTAAATATAAGACCTGAAAGTGTAATACTCCTCGAAAAAACAGGAGGAAAGCTACTTCGTATTGGCCTTGGCAAGACAGGAATAGCCCTAAAAAGATGCATTTTATGGAGGAGATTTGCATCTGCAGAAAAAAAATCTATCTTCATGAAATATAATAAACAGCCAGGTTTTCTCTGAGGCCCTCCCCTTTCAGGGACCTAGGAAAGACTAATTCAAGTCAGACTGCCATATATTCTTTCTGAGATATGCTACCTGTGAGGTTCCCTCTACATAACAAGAACCCTTTTGCCCTTTGCCTTTCTTTCTCACTCCTGCCCATAAATTGTCTTGCCATACTCCAAGCCCCTATTCTTTCTGTAACATCAAGATGGTATAAAAGTATCAATCATCTGGCCCTTTCTTTGAGTTTTCATATTTTGTATCACTCCCATGCACATATGTACACATTAATAATTTTTTAATGTTTTTTTCTCCTATTAATCTGCTTTTTCGTCAGTTACGTTTCAGTGAACCTTCAGAGGGTGAAGGAAACATTTTCCCTCTTGGCCCCTACAGAACTCAACAGCAAAAAGAAAAAAAAAAAATAATAACCCATTTAAAGAATGGGAAAAGAACATGAACTTGAATATACATTTTTCTAAAGAAAATGTATAAATGGCCGACAGGTATATGAAAAGGTGCTCAACACTACTAAGCATCAGGCAAATGCAAATCAAAACCACAACAAGTTATCACCTCACACCTATTAGAGCGGCTATTATCAAAAAGTCAGAGATAACAAGTGTTTCAAAGGGTGTGGAGAAAAGGGAATCCTAGTAAGCTGTTGGTGGGAATGTAAAGTAGTACAGCCATTATGGAAAACAGTATGGTTCTTCCTCAAAAAATTAAAACTAGAATTACCACATGATCCAGCAATCCCCCTTCTGTGTGTATACCAAAAGGATATCTATGTTCCCATATTCACTGCAACATCATTATTCACAATAGCCGAGATGTGGAAACAACCTAAGTGTGGTGTGGGTGGGTGGATAAATGGATAAAGACATAGTGGCAGATATACAATATACTGGTAATATTAGTCAGCCTTTAAAAAGGACTTACTGCAATTTGCAACGACATGGATGAATCTGGAGTACATTATGCTAAGTGAAATAAGCCAGACACAGAAAGAAAAATATTGCATGTTCTCACTTATTTTTGGAATCTAAAAAGTTTTTCGTTTGTTTTTAATCCACTACTTAAAGCTAGAAGGAAACGTGGAGATGTAGGTCAAAGGCACAAACTTGCAGTTACACCAGTTAAATAAATAAGTCTAGAGATGCAATGTACAGCAGGAAGACTATAGTTAACAACATTGTACATTGAAATTTTACTAAGAGAGTAGATTTTAGGTGCTTTTACCACACACAAAAAAAGGTGACTATGGAAGGTAATAGATACGTTAAGTTGCTTACCTGTGGTAATTATTTCGCTATGGATATGGATGTCAAAACATCTTGTTGCAAACCTGAAATGTGTACCGTGAAAAACGAAACGCACAAGGTAAGGTGAGGAGCGAGGTGACTCCCGGGCCAGCGCAGCGAGACACGGAGCTGGGAACCTGGTAGCAGCTGCATTTGAAGAACTGCCGCGCTCAGCTGCGAGCGGCCGGCTGGGGGCTGGCGTAAGGCTCAATGCGCAGGGGCTCAGTGCGCAGGCGGCTCAGTGCGCAGGCGGGGGCGGGGCGGGCCGCGGCGAGGCAGGGGCGGGCCTTCGGAGCCAGCAGCTGGAGTTTGCCTCCGCCTAATATTGACTCTCACGGTGTTCCTCACTCCGCACCACCTCCCGCAGACTAGAGAGGGGCTGGAGCTGAGCTGCACGGGGCGGGGCGGGGCGGGGCGGGGCGGGGTGGGCGGCGTGGGCGGCGAAGGTCCGTGGCGGGATATGTGTAACTGTTGCTGCTGCCCACGCCCCGCACCCTGCCGGCCGCGTCCGAAGACACACTTACCTTCGCGGCGCGGCGGGAGGCGCGCGGAGCCCCGAGGTAGCGAGTCCCCGCGCTCCGGCTCTCCGGACCCGCCTGGCGTCCTCGCCTGCGGCGGGACGGGCGGCAGCGGCGCCCGGGCATGGCTTCGGCGGGCAGCGGCATGGAGGAGGTGCGCGTGTCGGTGCTGACCCCGCTGAAGCTGGTCGGGCTGGTGTGCATCTTCCTGGCGCTGTGTCTGGACCTGGGGGCCGTGCTGAGCCCAGCCTGGGTCACGGCTGACCACCAGTACTACCTGTCCCTGTGGGAGTCCTGCCGGAAACCCGCCAGCTTGGACATCTGGCACTGCGACTCCACGCTCAGCAGCGGTGAGGGCCCGGCGCGCCGCGACCCCTGCCTCCCACCCCACCCCGGGCCGCCCCGCGCCCCGCTGCCCGGACAGCCCCCGCCTCGCCCCACCTCCCCGAGCCCCCAGCCGCGGTCCGTCCCACCCCATCCCGGCCCTTCGCGGATCCTGGGGCTCCAGCCGCCTCCCTGCTGTCCACCTCCCACCCCCCATTCCTGGTCACTGAACCCAAAGCGACGTCCCACGCCCTTCTCCTTCCTCCCGTGGCCATTCCTCCCGCTCTGGAGTAACACGTACGCTATTTTGGGTAATTGTTATCATTTAAGGCGACAACCATGTGGCTGTGTAAAAAATGCAACGGCTTCCACACCCCCGTGAAAAAAGAAACAGGCAAAAACGCCCCAACTCCACCAAGATGCTGCAGGTTCTCTGCTCAGTCTTCCCCACTTTCTCCTCTTTCCCTTCCTCTCTCTCGAGGAGGAATTTGCCTAGATTTACCTCTTAGTGTTCACATTTCTGCCTGTTCTACTTTGCCTTATGTGAGTTCTCCCCCGATGAACTTCGATTTGGATTTTATTTCCTTAAATTGTTGAAGGATATGGAGAGTTGGTAGAGGGACAGGCTTACTCTCCTTTGTGGTCTTTGGTTGTGAGTTGCCCTTCCTTCTCCTCAACCCCAAGTATCTCTCCTCTCTGGCCAGACCTTTATTTCTTCTTGTTTTGCAAGAGCCTCTCACAGATGCTTGGAACTTTATAGCTTATTCAGCCAGCACTACAAGCTGCAAATGGATTCACATGGACAGAGCTAATGCCTGAATTGGATCTCGGAGTGGAAACAAAATCCTATAAAGCAGCGGCCCCCAATTTTTTTGGCACTAGGGTCCGGTTTCATGAAAGACAGGTTTTCCGAGGGGAGGAGAAGCTCAGGTGGCAATGCCCGCGATGGGGAGTGGAGCAGCTTTTTTGCACTATTCTTAAAACTTTTCTGTAAATTTTAAAGTATTTAAATTTTTTACTTAAAAAATATTGTTCACTAGTATAACGTACTTTTAGCATAATGCATTCAAACAAGTACTTGCCTTTCCTTTAAAGGAGAATGATAAAGTAGGATAAAAAGTCATTAGCTTTATGAAAACCACAGAATACCTAAAATTTATATTCCGTGAAAAAATACAATGAGAAAAAACAGATTTCATGTTTTAAATATAAAGCCATATCATACACTAAACATTCCATGATATTTGGTTATAGGTGGTGATGATTCTAAATAACATTTAGATCACATTTATAAATGGTGCTTTATTCTATCTAGTGTATATAGTATCATGATTGGTCAAGGAATATGGCTACTTTAAGACAAAGCCAATTATGTTAAAGTGCACACGTATACACAAATTCAGCCACACAAAAAAAATTGTGTGAAGCTGTATTAGAGTGAGACACAAGACGTAAATAACTGTCTTCTAGCACATCATTTGTTTAGCATCTAGTATTATTTTCATGGTGCCCAGGACTGAATCTTTATACAGTGGCTACATCTGGTAATATAATTCCCAGCTATAGAGCGGTTCTATAGAATTTACACCTCTGCCTTGTGCTTTCCCATCCCTGCTCTCCTTGTATAGGAGTATTCTCACAGAGAGAGGAAAGAAGTCCAAATATATCTTTTCTTTTCTATGAGAAGCAAAATGTTTTAAAACACTGTCAGCATCCATTAGCTTTCTGCACACCTTTTCTCTGATTAGGCATAGTAAGGTAATGATATTATTAATAACGTTCCAGAACAAAGGCTGTGTGAACCAAATCCTTCCCCCTTTCCAAGTTAATAAATCCTAGCTCAGCTTAGTCTTACAGAAAGGGAGCCCTCAAAGACAGACCAACACACAGAAAATGTACTTAGCTCTCCTATCCACAGAATATTATTAGATGCCACTTTTAGAGTTCTTCACAGAGGTAATTTTTAATTGATAGCAAAGCACACAATGTAGGAATGCAGATTTCAAGTATACATCAAAAGGTTAAGCAAATATATGCGGTTTTTTTAATTGCCAGCATATAGTTTTTTCATGATTTTCAAAGCTACTCTTCTTCAAATGTACAGACTTCTTTGCATTCATGCTCAATGTTGTCCTGTCTTATTTCTTCAAAAAGTCCATTAGCTCTCGGGTAGCATTTTAATACAGAATTGGCATTTTCTCCTCTAAGGAAAACTAAAAAGATATATAATAAATATAAAAATTTAATGAAAACCCCATGTGAGAAGTTAATATACAAGATGAAAACTGCTAGAGGCCCTTTAGAAAACAGAGCCAACATCTTAAACCTTTCTGTGAGCCAGCAATGAACTAATACTTAACTCCATACCACTATGACTACTCTCTTCCCCATCTTGTATGTCCTTTGAATAGCAGTTGCCCTGGGCCGGGACAGTGATATGATTAACTATATTATATTCGGACTTTAGCACATTTCTACAAACCATGGATGTTTATAACATTGAAGAGTCAAGATAAATTTGGTCCAAATCCATTCCATGGAAGAACTAATAATTTTTTTTTTTTTGGCCAGTCTTCCACTTGAAGAGGAAATGATTTTGTTTTAACTGCAATAAAGTTATGTATAGTGTGACACTTTAATATAATCAACCCCATTCCACTGTTATTCCAAAAAAGAAAATTCTCTGTGATATGTAGAGAGATTGCACATAAACAATCAAAATGCCCACCCAACATACCCTTATACAGTAAACAAAGCAATAGCTATCTGTACACTCATGAGGAATTCTTATTGCTTTTCTACAAAGTAAATTTAAGCTGTATGTAAATTTAACCTGTATTTCAACTACATATTTCTAAAAAAAAAAATAAACAATCTTGTTTGGAGGCATAAGTATAAGTGTATACTTATACTTATGTATAAGTGTACAAGGCATAAGTATAAGTGTATACTTATACTTCCACACTAAATAAGTATAGCCATCTGTAAAACAGACTTCAAGCACGGCTAAGTGAGGAGGTCAGTGAATTCTTTTCCCAAAAAGTAATGATAAACTGGACAAAATTGTCACAAACAACCAAGTATAAGTGTATACTTATACTTCCACACTAAATAAGTGTAGCCATCTGTAAAACAGACTTCAAGCGCGGCTAAGTGAGGAGGTCAGTGAATTCTTTTCCCAAAAAGTAATGATAAACTGGACAAAATTGTCACAAACAACCATTTCAGTACTCTGGAAATTGACATAAGCCATACAACAAATTGAAAGTGCATATTCAAGAACAAAAATGGGAATTTGTGGCAATTTTAGCCTTAGCTCCTCCTATTCTGCCTCCCCACTCCCAGCTCTGTGGTACAGCAGTTCTAGGGTACAGCAGCCTATGAGAACCAATAACCTAGATGATGGACAGGATTGATTGATTTTAGAGTGCAGAAAAATCTATGCTGAGTTTTGTTGAAAACAACTATTGACAGTTGCAAACAGTTGGGAAAGATCAACATCACAGCTAAACTGGGGTTGCAATATGGTTGGGGTAAGCTACAAATATAATAAATTAGCCATAAATTTAACAGAGATTCAGCAACAAAACAGCCATAATGGACTTTAAGAAGTTCTCATATATCTCAGCAGTTATGAAAGGCTTTATTCACTATCAGGAAAGATGAGAGATGGCCCTAGCTAGCAACTTGTCTCTGGCTGAATGTGAGGCCTTGCATACCAGAAAGTAAAAGTCAAGACAAACTTGTAAACTTTCTGAACTCTGAATGCATTCCTCAATTCATGTACAGATCCATCAGCAAAGGCTGAATGTTTGTGTCCCCTCAAAATTTGTATGTTGAAGTCCCAACCCCTAATGTGACTGTATTTGGAGATAGAGCCTTTATGGAGGTAATTAAGGTTCAATGTGATTATAAGGGTGGGATACTCATCCCTTAGAATTAATGTTTTTATAAGAGTGTCTCTCTCTCTACCCCCCCCCACTCTCTCCCTCTCCCTTTCCTCATTCTCTTTCCCTCCCTGGCCCCTCATTGTGAGGACAGAGCAAGAATGTGGCCATCTGTAAGCCAAGAGAAGCCTCACGATGAAACTTACCTTGCCAGCACCTTGATCTTGGACTTTCCAGCCTCCACAACTGTGAGAAATAAATTTCTGTTGTTTAAGCCACCCAGTCTATGGTATTTTGTTGCTACAGCCAAAGCTAACTAAGACAGGTTGTTTAAGCTCAAACTCTGACCAAAGGCTGACTACTAAGCTGTGCTGACACGTGAGAGACATTTAGGTAACCAGGTTGAAAACTAAAAATAATACTTTTAAAATATAAGCAGAGATATCCGTAGATACACACTACATGAGAGACAGACCCTGCCCCAAATCTGGGCAGATTTTGGAGCTGCTACAATACAGTATCTAAAATATCCACTTTTTTTTTTTTCTTTTCTTTTTTTTTTTTTTTTGAGATAGAGTCTCACTTTGTTGTCCAGGCTAGAGTGAGTGCCGTGGCGTCAGCCTAGCTCACAGCAACCTCAAACTCCTGGGCTCAAGCGATCCTCCTGCCTCAGCCTCCCGAGTAGCTGGGACTACAGGCATGCGCCACCATGCCCGGCTAATTTTTTCTATATATATCAGTTGGCCAATTAATTTCTTTCTATTTATAGTAGAGACGGGGTCTCGCTCTTGCTCAGGCTGGTTTTGAACTCCTGACCTTGAGCAATCCGCCCGCCTCGGCCTCCCAAGAGCTAGGATTACAGGCGTGAGCCACAGCGCCCGGCCAAAAATATCCACTTTTAAAAAACAACTATAAGACATGCAAAGAAGCAGGAAACCATGACTGACACACAGGAAATAAAGCAGTAAATAGAAACTGTACCTGTGGGTGCTCAATATGAGAAAGATGTCAAAGCAGCTTTTATAAATGCTTAAAAAACTAAAATAAACCATATTTGAAGATTAAAAGTACGAATACAGTGCTTCTCAAACTTTAGTGTGCATATTCCTAACCTGGAATCTTGTTAAAATGTATTTAGATTCTGAACCAATAGGTCTGAGTGGGGCTTCAGATTTTGCATTTCAAAGTGCTCAAGTGAAGCTGATACTGCTAGGTCAAAGAACACACTTTAAATAGCAAAATGCTCCTACTGGTTGTACTTTCCCAGAATGTCCAGGTCCTGCTCCAAGAGAGTCTGCAGTATTTGTTCTGGAATGTGAACTGGACATCAAGATTTTTTAAAGCTCTCCAGGTAACTGCACTGTGCAGAAAAGCTTAAGAACCTCAGTGCTAAAATATATGTTTTATTAATTTTAGTTATCAGTAGCTCTAATATGGTCCCTTTTGCTCATCTCCCACCCTATTTCCACCTTTTCATTTTCTAACATTTATATACATGTTGGGTATCAAAGTTAGCTGTTTGTGCTTTTGTTCTGTGAAGAGTGGATAGTAGTTCAGGATAGAAACGGGAGGATCAGGCGACCTGGTTTTAGGAAAAATAAGTAAAAGGCATCATAGGCTATTTAAAAAGAGAACTTGTTGAAATAAAATGAGAGATTACCATGGGAAGTTGTCACAATAAAACTCACCTCCAGTCTTGGCCTGAGCTTGGGGCACCAAAAACAATAATCTCCCTTCCTGAGTCCTGGTAGTAACTAACAATCAAAGAAGCTGCAAAGAAATTTTTTTCTTCGCAATATGCCAAGAAGCTAAAATGCAAGAGAGATTCCCCACACACACAATGGCAAAGAATAGAGATGTAATCTTTTCCCCAAAGTGTAAATAACACAAGGGAACTTAGAAGTGACTGGAGGATGATGATGATGATGATAAATATGGCTAACATACTAACATTATGTAAATCACTTAGGACAGTGCCTGGCAGTTGGCTCATTTAATCTCCACAGTAACACAACTATCCTTATTTTACATGTCAGGAACCTGAAGCACAGAGGAGTTAAATAATTCACCCAGGCAGAGTGCAGTGGCTCATGTATGTAATTCTAGCACTCAGGAGGCCAAGGCAGGAGGATTGCTCAAGGTCAGGAGTTCGAAACCAGCCTGAGAAAGAGCGAGACCCCCATCTCTACTATAAATAGAAATTAATTGGCCAACTAAAAACATATATATAAAAAATTAGCTGAGCATGGTGGCACATGCCTGTAGTCCCAGCTACTCGGGAGGCTGAGGCAGGAGGATTGCTTGACCCCAGGAGTTTGAGATTGCAGTGAGCTAGGCTGATGCCATGACACTCTAGCCCAGGCAACAAAGTGAGACTCTGTCTATAAATAAATAAATAAATAAATAAATAACTCACTCACTCACTCACTCACTCACTCACTCACTCACTCACTCACCCAAGTTCACCCAAGATGGTAAGTGGCTAAGCTGGGACTTGAACCCAGACAAGCTGAGGTTAAGAAACCACTATAGCAAACTGCCTCTCTCCAAAACAAGAAAGTAAGAAGGATCTTCAGTGAATTCACAGCTTTAAACACCCACAAATAGATGATCACCTTGTTATTCCTTAGGTCTAGCGAAGAACTGTGTATTGATATACACAGATAGTCCTAGATTTATGATGGGATTACATCCCAATAAACTTTCTTCTGTAAGCAGAAAATATCATAACTCAAAAATGCATTTAATGTTGGCAATACGGCAATTATCAACTTACAATGGTTTGACTTATGATTTTTTTTATTTTACGGTGGTGCAAAAGTGATAAGATGTTTACTAAAAACCATAATCCCATTGTAAGTCATAAGGAGCTCCTAGATGTATGATGCAGTTACATCCAAATAAACCATCATCAGTTTGAAAAATTCATAAATCAAACCATCTTACGGGGACCACCTGTGTGTGTGTTCATGCTCAAGATCTGAGGCAAAGTCAGAGGAGAGGTCCTCAAAGCCGGCAGAGAAAGAAATACAGTGATAAGACCAAATTAAAAGTAAAGGAATGACGGAGTTTTGTTGAAACTGAACGAACCATAATCCTAATTTTTCAGAAAGTGTCTAGTCATGGGGGAAATATGGAAGATAGTTACTGCTAGCTAAAACTTCTTCATATTTTCCTAAATGCCTCAAGGCAAACTTAACTTTAAAAACACTCAAGATACCCATGTGTCTTTGAATATAGGATACAAAGTCTATATATTTTTAACTTTAATCTTTATAACCTACATATGGCACAAAAGAAAGAAAATGTTTTGAGCACTCTTTCCCAGACATGGACAACCTTAAGGTTTACATAAGTGGAGACTTAATTTGGTTAAATAGAGAATGGACTGCAAGACACTGTTTAAAGGGGACTAAGGGAAAACGGAAAGTATTTAAAACAGGTTTTTCTTTTTTTGTGTATGTGAATCTTCTTTTATTTTTTTTAATTTCAGCATATTACAAGGGTACAAGTGTTTAGGTTACATATATTGCCTTTGCCCCACCCAAGTCAGAGCTTCAAGCATGTACCAGGAAATCATTTCTTTCTACTCACAGCAATGAAGATAAGGTAAAAGGTTAAGTCTCCACATCCTAAAAGGTAGAGCCAAAGGCCACATTGAAATCAGAAATAGGCTGTTTTTGTCATGCACTTGGAGCAGACTCTGAAAGCCACAGTCTGGAATAAGATAATGGTCAAAATGGGACCAGCAACCTTCTGGGTGTTAAAACACCTCAACCATCCTCTAACCATTAGTTGGCTGGCTGTGCCATAGTCTCTCCACCTTCCTTCTGGTGAGCTTATACAATCACATGACTTCAATATCAACTATAGGATGATGTCTTCCATATGTATATTCAAAACCTGACATCCCATTAGCTATTGTTGGGGGAGGGATTCATTTCTCCAGCTATCTGCATGACATTTTGGCATGCATGTCTAATAGGAATCCCAGATTTTATAAGACCTGCATTCCCCACCCCTCCACCCCAGGTGCCCCACCTCAGGCATCCCCAGGTTGATAATAGCACCAACAACAACCCAGGTGCTCAAATCCAAACCCCAGAACCTAAATTATTATTTTTTTCAATCTCCCATTCCTCACCTCCTGTCCATGACCAAATCTTATTGACTTGTCCAATAAGATTTGGTATTTGTCTTCCTCTCCTGGTTTCCTCAGCCACCAAGGCACTTCAAGCCACACTAGTTTTTCCACTTAGAACAGCTACAATGTATGGAAAGGGTCTCCACCTTCAACTCTCCCCCACTCCCCTACATTCTTCAAAGCAGCCACAGCCACTAGCTTAACATTCAGAGGGATCTACTCTACTTTATATTCAGTATCACAAATTTGACCTACAGCCTTGACCTTTTATTTTTCAGCATTCCTATTGAGGTATTTTTTTTAACTGTGTTACTTTTTGGAATAAATGATACAACAAAAGGAAAAAGAAAAACATGAGCGGAGGTTTCATAAGGACAATATGTAGAAAATCACCTCCTTGTTTTGTAGGGAAGCCAGCCTAAGGCTCAGTCCCATTATCACTGTCACTCGGAGTGAACATGCCAAAGAAGGACTCTGCCATCCCGTCACACAGAACCCCATTTTGCTGCCCAGACTCAAGAAACTTTAACATTTCCATATCTAAAAAGCAGAAGTGTTCATGTAAACTTGAAAATCCCTTTATTTTAAACCCTCCCTAATCCCATTCCCTTCACTTCTTCCCCAGAGGTAACTACTATGATGAATTCCAGACCATGTTTTGTACTGTTCCATTCACTTGGATGCGCAGACATCAGGGCCCCAGACAGCCCACCCCACTCCACCTGACATGCTTACAGAGATTTTAAGGGGAAGACTAATTTTGTGTTTTCCAGGGGTCAATGGAGTACCTTTCCCCTCCATCCATGGGACATCCTGAGCTACATGGGGATGGGGCATGTATGGGTGGGTGGAAAGTCCCCTGGATACCTGTTTTAAACCCGGACGCAGGAATTTGCTCTTATTTCTCAAAGATGAGAGTTTTGCACACACAAATCAACCGGACACCTTTATTGCTGCAAGAACCAGATAACTTTATTGGAAACAATGGTAAAACTCAAAGGAAAAAACTTCAGTGAACTTCTGAAATGGCAATATGCACGCCCGGCCTGGTGGCCTGACCTGGGGAAGGCACCTGTGGCTGTGGTGACAGTCCCAGTTCAGTTCTCCTTGTTGTCGTCATCA